CTATATGCTATATGATGCTACACGCCAAGTGATTCACAATGGAAAGCTCAGCTCAGTGACGCCTTTGAAGTGAAGACAGGAGTAAGATAAGGTTGCCACCTACTATCACCGATCATCTTCCTGGTTGTAGTGGACTGGATCATGCAGCAAACTGTGAGGAGCGAGAAGGGGACATACACTGGCTGGACCGATGAAAAGACCCTAGAAGATTTGGATTTCGCCAATGATGATTTATGTCTAATGTCTTATCGCACAAACTCGAAGATCTACAGGCGAAAGCCAACAAGTTGGCAGAAGAGGCAGCGAAGACGGGACTTCTTTCAGGTGAGCGTAGAGAAAACAGAGGTGATGAAGATACCCAACCAACAACAGCGTCGACAACAAGCACCAATCACCATCAACGGGAGAAACCTAAAGGAAGTAGTTTCTTTCATCTACCTAGGCATCATCGTCTCAACTACAAGCGGCAGCACAGATGAGAACGTCACAGCCAGGATCGGAAAGAAAAAGAGCACCTACGGGGTCGCCAATATCAGGATTGATTGCTGAAGCTGTGATGGAGCGGCTGGAATCAATAGTCATACTTCTCATCAAGCCAAAAATTTAGATTCGGTACGCCGACGACACATTCGTAGTTCTCAAGGAAGATGAAACCGAAAACACATTGGAACTAATCAACCAAACATTGGAGGAAATTCACTTCACAAAGGAGGAGGAAGCCAACAACAGAATCCCATCAGCAGAATATGCAATGGGACTTTAAAAACTCAGGTATACAGGAAAATCACACACGGATCAAATATTGAACCACAACAGCAATCATTCTACAATCCACAAGAAATATTGTGTGCAAACATTATTTTCAAGAGCGAAAACACATTGAAGCTCTGAAGAACTACGGAAGACGGGGAAAAATACCCGTACAGTTTTCAAAGCCAATGATTATCCACACAGCTTTATCAACAGGACAGAAGACAGAGCAATTGCCTCAACCCAATCCATCATTAAAAATATCTCAGAAACAGGCAACCATCGTTTGGAATCGTAGTAGCCCACAAACAAACATCACTACACATCATGTTGTGCACACCAAAGGATCCGTTGCCGAAAGAAGACAGGGTACATATACTCTACAGATTCCACTGCATCACTATGTTGGCCAGTCTAGCCGTCGGATTGCTCAAGGAATTCATCAACACCTATTAGCAGTAAAGCGAAATGACGCGGCCTCCTTGGTTTCGATGTATGCAAACAGTCACGATCACTAATTCGACTGGGGTAATGTGGAAATCCTCTAAAGGGCTAGTTCGAAAGCTGCAAGAGAATTCCTAGAAGCATAGCATTCAAACGAAATGTTAATCAACAGACATGAGGATGTAGACCCAAACCTATAATCTGCTTAAGAAGGAAACAGCTATCCGTCAACAAAGTGCAAATTGACCAAACAAATCAGTAATGATGCACAGTGTGATAGCAACAAACAGCACAATATCACTCCAACAAAGATTATCTACTAGTGTGACTAAACAAATTTAAGGTCAATGAGGTCAAAGTATGGTAGAAGTCTCTTCTGCAACTTACAATCAGACAACACCCAAGTCCAATAGAAACACTGTCCAGACATTCATGTACGAATGAAATATGCTTCACTTCTTTATAAAGATGTCACCAAGCCTGGGGATGAAACATCTATGAAAAATATCAAAGCTCAGAGAACATCAAACCTTCAGCACAGTGTTTGCATAAAAATCGAGATCGAATGTCAGAGATTCTAGACGATAAAGTTCAGAATCAGTGTCAGTGTCAAACATGCATCGCCTCACATGATTTCATTTTATCTTGGTCTCTTTGACCTAACTTCTACCACTTCAACAACTTTCTTCCCCACTTCTCTCATTTTCATCCTGGTGCCTTTTACCTTAATGTGATGATATGAGATGTGGTAAATTGGACTGTTACTTAGTAATACCAGCGTCTCACCTTGACGCTGACTGACTGTAAGCAATATACTTTTGTTCATTTGAACAGCAAATGACATAAGGAGTATTCTTTAATAGCATTGTTGAAGAGAACACGATGGTGGACAAATTACCAAGTGAAGTTATAACACTGAGAGTGATATACGATAAATTTGGATACGTTAGCAAAACTGAGAGTGAGTGAGTGGAAGTAGTATGATATACATAACTTAATGTAATATCAACATTTAATGGAGTTTAAGAGATTGGTTACAATACACTTTTCGGCTAAGCAAACACAAATGACTTAGTGTTGATTGTATTTCTATATTCTGCTAAAAAAAGATGAACTTAGTTCATAAAATTCCATGCTTTATGCATCGTAGATAGCTTCGAATTGTTCTTCAGTTAAATGAGCATTCCTCTTCAAGACGGTTCTAAAAATTGTCGATTTTTGTCAGTACCTACCAATTAGGATAATACAGGTCGATCTTTACGGTATCAGTCGAAATTCTTTTACTATTCATCAGCTTTGCGGTGTTGCGGCCTATTTGGCTCAGACACTTGATTTGCAACCGTTGGGTTACGCATCCAAACCCAGCTTCAACTATTCAGGTAGTATCATTAGCCCTAACACAGTAGATACGGCTCGCTACCTACTGCGCGAACGTGCACAAGATTGTTGTTGAGTGGATTTCAATTTAATTTTTATCGCTTTATCACCATATTCCTTCAGAAGGTCATGATGACGACTTTTCTACCAAACAAACTATTGATATAATTTAACAAGGGGAAAATCGATTTATAATTACATGTTAGACAGTTGGTTCACTATGAGAACCGTCAACTTATGACTAGAAAGTAGAACAGGATATGCATGGATTACACTTTTTCGATGAGTAGACATCCGGACGGGACACTTCTTTTCGACTCAGTTTACTTGCTAGCGGTAGGTACCAGCAGAATCCAACATATGTAAAGTTCATTTTATATGAGATTCGCCAACAGATTGTGTCTGTATCCCAGCCAATGTTATCATCCCAAATGAGAGGCAAAGTCAGCAGCAATCCCTTCAAATACTAGAACATTATTCAGTAGTCCGCTGATCACTAACTAGGAATTGTAAATATTAGCGAGTGAAATACAAGTCAGTTCAAAAATCATTTTCTTTTTTTTATACAGATACATCAAAATTTATGGTCTAATCTGAAGTGAAAGTTACACATAAGGAGTCAGATGGCTAAAATTATAGTTTCTAACATTTTCTCCTGGTCACACACTAGTGGAGACCAAAATAAATGTAATGCAGCCGACCAGTTCTCGTAGCAAGCTATTAGTTACTTCTATATTTTGAATAGCCCATGGGTTGCAACCTGATTGGTTGAAACTCAGTAACTCCGGCTTCGTTCAAATACGTAGCCAAAGGGTTGCAAATGGAGCGGTGACACCAATTAGCCACAACTCTAATCGATTCGAAAATCACATCAAGTTTATACATCGATGTATAGCTTAAAAAATAACTAGATTAAAATGGTTGGTTTATACACCAAGTGTTTTATGGCAGGAGGATTGCACTGACAAAAGGGGGTTGGTGATGTACTAGAACAGTTAACAGTAGAAATACAACTGAGAATAAATCTATCGGTTACAAGCATAGGTCACTGTACTTAGAAATTTTATGGCATACTGCTGAGAATTTTATAATTCATGACTAATTTTGTAAATCTTATGATCTAGTAAAATAATGAGAATCATATCACAGAAACGCCTAATATGCTGAACTTTTTGATGTGATAAAGTTTATCTTCCTGTAGAAGAAATCCTCTATGGAGAAATACACAAAACTTCAGTGTAAACACTCAGTGACAATAATTGATTTTTCAGTTTATAGTGTATGAGTATGCAGAGACTATACAATAATTGGTTACACTGAATGAATTCCATTTATCCTGGTTGCAAACTATCTAGCCACCAGTTTAGGTTGATGTTTAGTGGTTTGGAGTAGTCAGAGAGAAGCTCTCTTTGATTAACATTTCCTGCTTTTTGGTGCTAGCCAAGAAAGCGTACCTGCAACCTCGAGGGGAATGACGCCTCCTTACAAAGCTGAACCATCGCCAACCAGCTAGTAGTGAAAGTAGAAACACTACCTCCATTTCCTGATCATGATTATCACACTGTTTCCAGATGAGCAATGACGTATATCTGAAATGAATAGTTGATTAGACACGAGCATAATCGTATCCCTTCACGCTACTGTAAAGTGTGACACTTCTGTGCGAGGTTCTAAGTTGATTTTGCTTGTCTAATAGTATCTAACTACGACAAAATAAAAGTTCATACAATGTCGACGTACATGACTTCATGAATGGAGAGAAGCAAAATTGTCAGTAGGAAATGCAAACATCACAGTGTTTTATATTATGGATAGTAATCAGCAGTGGAATCCAGGAAGGGCGTTTCGTTCTATTTGGAACTGCCTGTCGTAGTGGGAACAACATCACTCACTGGGAAGCAGATATATCCAGCCGACGAGTTCCGAATAAGAAGAAACGCACATCAACCTGGATTCCGCTGCTAGCCACTATCCATCCATCCATCCATACAGTCCAAACACAAGCAACATCGAGGCATCCGCGCAGGAGCCCATAAGCCAACAGAGACTGATCGACTCGGTCCACTCAACGACGGGATAATACAAGCAACAATATCACGGTGTTTTGATATCAGGTGATATGCCCTAAATCAATGAAACGATAGCACAGTGTTGCATTGACCGATAGTTTGTTAAATGACAAAAGGTTGAATACAGTACATGCATGTATTTTGTTGCGATGATAGACCAAGATCTACATAATACACAGCTGAACAGTCGATCCAAATAAAAATAACACATTTCCATCATCAAACAATAATAACAACAAAACACTCACTTGATGCTTCCAATAAACCAGCTGATAATTCCAAAAAGACAGATAGATAATTACCACGCACTACACCATTACCATCTGGATAAACTTTAAGACGCCAGCTAAGACCATTTACGTGGAGTGGTTGACTATACACAGGATCAGCTCGTTGTTCATTATTGAATACGGTTGAAGAGTAAATGTACTTGATTCATACGGAGGAACAATTTCACTAAATTAAACAGAAAACAAGATTATACGCCACTTAATTAACTAACGATAATTAAATCGATTACAAACAAGAGAAAAAACAACTATCGAATGAAAGTAGATTATGTACCTCGATACTGGAAACTGAAAATCATAGATAACTTTTCTGACTTCTTGACTAATAGGATCTTGAGGTGATACTCATCACTGACTGAAATCGGTTGCAGAAACACTTAAAACCTGGAAGCACTGGACAACTGTTTCACCCTAGTACGGACTCCTCAGTAGTATGCACCCATGACCCCCACCAGGTTCCAGAACGAGCAATTTACCATTGAGCCAATGGATCCGAACCCAATGGTCCAGAGTTACCTGGTAGAGGCATGGGTACAATCTGCTAAAGAGTCCCATGCTATGACGAACCAAATGCCCATTGCTCCCAGACTTTCAGTGGTTTTCCAACTGAAATCAGTCACTGATGAGTATCACCTTGAAATCAATAAAATCCCACAAATCTCCCACTGTGATCGAAAAATGGTTGGTTCAGAATGAAACCTTACCTCAAGGTTATTTCAAGTAAACACGGAAAAAACCTATTCATATGCTCAGAGATGATTCTAATTTTTATGAAGCATTGTGCTGGTAGCTTATGCAACAAACTTTGAAAACACTAACATCAAATTCACAATATAAATTTCTCGAGCGTTTCGTTACTGATGATTGATGTAAAAAGTGATTTGAACATTCCTGCACTTTTGTTAGAATTTCTCGTACTGCTTATCAACATACTATAGATTTTGTCATCTACTACAAACTATAAACTCTGCAAATAAGTGTCATTATACACTAGAACCATGTAGTGCGCAAGTACTTTAGTAAGCAGCATGCAGATTATGGATCGACACGTAGCTGACTTAAAACATCAGTCTAAATATTTGTATTTTTATTCGTACTGCTCTAACTATACCTAGATCGGTGCATTAAGTTGAATGATTTCTAGGCATATGAACTGTTGTATCCAACACCGATATTTGATACACTCTTAACCTAGCAGTGACGCACTATTCCGAATGAGAAGCCACTGCTGACCACTATCTACACTTAATGACAAAATCACCGAATATGGAGGAGCTCATAAACCAACAGTAACCGACAGAACTCAGTTGAGATGACTGTAGGTTGTAGTATTCATGTACACCTTTCTATCCACATTATGCGATTCATCCAATATCTAGTAATCAAATACACTACTGTGATACATCAATCCAATCACAAATACAGCTGAAATAACCCACAACAATCATATTTCAGCGTAATCTTTTCCGACTTCATCTCTTCCGGTTGATTCTTGAAACAGGAATAATGATAAAAACCGTGCATACAGTTTCCAGGCAGGCCCAATAAAGAGAAAAAAGTTTACGTCAAATACTCTCAACTGTTCTGCAACCGATATCGATTCGTGATGTAAACCACCAAGAATTCAGTCAATTCACCCACACACGCACCACTTAAATAACAAACATATTAGTCAGATAAACATACAACTACGCCTGAGAGATATACAGAATATAAACTAGAACAATAAAGTAAGTTATTGATTGGTAAATAGCCGTTAGTTTTCGTATACTTGGGAAGCATTTTCAAAAATAACTGAACCAACAGATTTTTTGGGTTCGAGTGGGATTAACTAATCCTACGAGAATTTACAGACACTTCCGTGACTACTTATTAGTAGTTAAAATAAAAATAATAAAATGTGGATCTATTGAAAGAATCAGTGTATATTGCGCAGCAATAAGGTAAACACAATGCCTAAATAGTTTAATATCAAAGAAGAGTAGAAACAAGTGCCATAGTGCTACTTACAGTCCATGGAATATGTCATTTTGTCACTTTTGATAGTGAGGAACAGTAAAAGGCGCAGCTGGCTGGCTCTGAGAATACGTCAGTTAGTACAGAAGGTACTACAATATACAACAACGAAAATTTAAGATGGTTCTCTTCTTTACAAAATCACATACATATAGGATGGACAGTATATTTCCAAATGCTAACGTACCTGTAAAAAAATTCACTATGCGAATACAGATAGTGAGAAAGACGACAAGATGAGATCTCGTAAAAATAATAATTTGAGAAGAGAAACGTTTTGATGCTACATACAGTGGTCAAAATAAGTTTTAACACAGTATTACTAAGTGAAGTTGAAACAACACATTTTATTCATCTAATCCACATATAAGTGCACGTAGTAGTAGCAAACCGTACAGCTACGATTTAGTCACTTAAACAGATACAGATACATATGCTAGGCTGCTGATAAAACTGCCTCAATTTGAGAGGAAATAATATCAAGCCAAGCAAACCAAGGCAGTCATTCACTTTTTCTCGAATACGCTGCACAACAGAGGAAATATTAAGAAAAACACCTATTACTTGTTTTTTCACTAATACAACAGGCATCTTCCATCTACTAAATACATATTTTACTGATATATATATATATATATATATATATATATATATATATATATATATATATATATATATATATATATATATATATATATATATATATATATATATATAGCTTACCGGCTGAAATGTGGACCATGCATGAAATGAGTCAGTTTTATTGAGATAGTGTTTGAAGGCAAACTACCTATCAGCTAAAACGAGAACAGCAGCCATTAACTATGAGTTTGGTTCTCACAATCTATCGAAGATGCTTCAACATCAAGTCAGATTACACGATCAGATTCAATTTTATTTATTCCACATTATGAAGTTTGAGCGCGCATCAATAAATGCTACATCTCTGACAAGATCAAACAAATACTGTCGGTAGAAAGGCAGACATATCAGCAACACAGAACAAGGCAGAAGTCAGCATACATTCGAATTACCACACATCAAACCGATACTTTAAGCCACACTAACAACAGAAAACATAGGAGTGAAATTAACGAAATAAACGGCGGTGAAAATTCTACGACAACAAGACCAAAGGAACAAAGTAGAAGGAGGAATGTGGTAAAAACGCGTTAAAAATTTAAATAACGGTAAAACATGGAAGCGTTCGCATCATTCGGATAGGCTTCAGGCTATATCTATCAAAAATCTTTGATTTAAGTCGCTTTGAGCAGCCAAGTCAGTAGACCAAAGGTTCAAAACCTCATCAACTGACTTAGCTCTGCTTAAAATCTTACTCCTGACTTCTCCATTCCTGATATCGAGGTTCCACGACAAACAGTTTACGCTATGAAAGCAAGTGGTTGAAAATGTGAAGCCTTCTTATATCTCCCACCTTTGATGACCATTTTCACAAGCGATATAGTAGAACAGAAAGAACTACACCCTCGGATGTTAATAGACAATTGGATATCACGGCAGCACCATAACTGAGAAAGCTTATGAAACTTTTGTAGCCGTGTGGAAATTTCATCAGTCACTGATCTACCATGGCTGGTCCGGCTTCCAGAGTAAGTGAAGTAGTTAACACGCTCAACAACTTCCTTCCTTATTGTCAAACGATGAATCAATGCAGATAGTTTCTAGAGCAACAATTTTCACGTGGTGGGCAAAAATGTACCCCAAAATACTTAAATTGGTACTCAAAGTACCCAGTAGACTCCATATCTTGTCAACGTCTTCACCTAACAAGAATATGTCATCCAAATTCTCTAGGTTCACCAAGTAGTCTACTGTGTCATGGTCAAACCCTTAACGTCAAATGAGGAGACAGAAATTTTAATAAGGACATTTATGACAAAAACAAATAAGAAAATAGGGAGTGAACATCCTTAACGAACACCACTCAATGTACACAACTAACCTAACACCTCACCATAGGCTCTGACACACGTGTTCTAATACAGAGTTATAAAAAGGGTGAGGTAGTTACCTTGTAGCCATTTCAGTGACAGGGACAGCCACAAGAGCTACAAACTTCCCAACTTCAGCAAATGTTGGGGAAATATCTAGATGTTGTCTTCAGGGTTAAACTGGAGTCCAGATGAGCTGCTTCTTGAAGTGCTCCCCACATCTTTACAGTCACCTACACTGCAATTGAATCAGAACATATTCGTTTCCGCTATCATCTCACTAACCATTTACCTTTTTGTCTATTTCTTTCATAAGTCTAAATAACTGTCGACTTCTCCCATTGCTGCTACCTTTTACATTGTTTTAGCCTTTGTTAATCACCACTGCTCATAGTCAACGCTTAACTCTTTGTCCGTCTACATATGAGTGGCTTACACTCGTGGTTTTGCTCGGACGATGTAAGAATGTATCTCGTACAACCCATTATTTCGGAAGAAGCCGGTGAGATACATTGACTCTTATATCTAAAATCGGTCTTCAACGCAATTTTTATTACAGCAGACATGAAATGGAGCCAGGCTTCTCAAGATGAGTGAGGTTATCCTGTTCCAGTAACCGTTCAGATAATTACTGGCTGAATGTAGTCATAGTATTCTGATCATTGAGCTGAGCTCGAAACAGCATTGCAGATGTAGTTTTTCAGCAGCCTTTCAGGTGGAGACATATGTGTGCTCTAGAAGAACTAGAAATGTTCCAGCAAAGCCTCTTATTCTACTACCGGCAGAAAAATAGTTTACACGTCCACCGTTGGGTTGAAATCAATGAATACCAAGTAAACAAATATTTTTAAGTTTGAGTTCACGCTGGCTCAAAACACGAGATTGTCCGAGAAGAGTTCAAGGGGAGTATGTTGTTATCATTTCTTTTAAACAGGATATAAACCGAGTGCCCTAACACTACTTCCGATTACCGACTGGTGCATTTAGTGCCTGAAAACAAAACCTCATCTGAAATTTGATATCAGTTAGGAGACGGAAATTTTTAAGAAAAACAGATCATACACCACATCTCAAATGCATAAAGTCTGAGGCGTTCACGTTACTTCGGATGACAACTCCAACATTAGCTATTACACTACTGCATGAGTTCCCAATAGGGAGCACTAATTATCTTAATGTACTTGCTATGTACTCTTTTCACAGTCACAAAAACCTTTCAGCAGATAGAGTTGAATGCTACCTTTTTCGTCACCACCTGCTTAGTGGGAATGGCTATCCAACGAAGTTTGCAAAGCACATGAATGCTACGAAGGTTAAGACAAGAACGTCAACAGTTCCTAAGAAGCAAATATTCTTGAAGCTGGAATTTAAGAGTGACATTGTTAGCGAGATCACCACACAACGCATTAAAACAGCCTTGCAAAAAGCATTCCCAGCGGTTAAATTATGTCCTAACTAGCTCTGCATGAGCTAGTTGCGATGAGTGCACAGTGAAGTGAGTCCATCGTCGAATTTCTGAGCACCATCCATCATGGTTGAGCAATAAAGAGCTCCATACTTGCACACTTAGTTGACATTGGACATCCGATGAATACTAGAAAAGTATTCAGAATCATTTATCACGTACCAATTGACTCACCAGATGGATTACGCATTCGCTTACTACACATAGCAGAGGTGATTGTAATCCCCCTTTTTACAAAACTGACCTTTGTATTCAAAAGAAGTTTGTCCGACCACTTTCATTACCGTGGCCGTCAACATGATGTAACTTCTCGTATTACTTTGTACACCCCCTCTCCCTCTTGTTTCTATCAATATTCATTTATTATTTTATTATTACGTAGTTATTTATTGTTTGTGATTGAACACTCGTCAAAAATCACTCCATTTACCTAGGAATAACCTGCATCATATTACCAATTTTAATTACTCCATTGATTATTTGCATCTTAATTCCCAAAACTTACTATTATTGTTCACCAACCCCCCACTACTTGATTGAATTGTAAACGTATATATTAGTGTAGAGCCCATGATGAAAACCTAATTGAAAAGGAACATATTTTTTCGCTCAATCAGTCCATTTTCTAAATTTTATCAGTTTTCAAGTGCGTGTAACCACTTGATGTTCAAATATCCCTCAGTGTAAAATACTATGCCTAAAGGTAGGGTAGAGTATGATGAGACTCTAACGACAAAGCGTACTCAGCTGAAATTGTCTTCTCTGCAACGATATAACGGGTAAACATTGAGTTTACACGAGATGGGGTTTTAAATTTTACACCTGTTTTAAATACTAGTTTCATGAAGCCAGTTAGTTGGGAGATACTTCAATTAAAGGACAAATGAAACATGAAGACTTCTTTGGAACAAAAGATTCATTTCATCTTAAGACTGAATTTAACCCTATGAGGGTCAGTTTACAGCTAAGCTATTGTGGCAGCAAGGTGTTACCGATTATTATAATAATATATAAAATGTCTTAAAGAAAAGATATACATGCAAATAACATACTTACCTTACAAAATCAGCTGGTATCGGTGCACTGACAAGTGAAGCCATTGGTTTACAGTGCACTTCATTGAACATTGACAAAATTTCAGACGATTTTGTTATCATTTCAGATCGAGTAGCAACATCTAATTCAGACTGAACATCTTGTAAAAGTGTTTCTAGCAATTCAATTTCCTAGAGGTGTAAAAAGTAAACCCCAATTTCTCGAATTATAAGTAAGAGAAAATACGTTTTTATATTCACTTCAGGTTAATAAACTGTCCTTCACTGAACACTGATATAAGTTGATCAGCGATTATGAATTAATGCGCATCAAACGGTTTTTTTCTAACCATTTAGTGAAATATCTTTATCTGTGCACCAAATATCATCCTTCTTCCCGTGACTTAATAACGATCCATAACGCTCGACGATAAACAGATTAGCGTACCACTCTATTGCAACCAACTTTAATGACTGAGATTTCTCCTCACCTATGTATTGAGTAACTGTCAAATAAGGCAAACAAATGGCTGTTTGCCAACGAAAAAAATTTAAGTATTCACAAGCAAGTAAGAATTGTTCGGTTAGTATGAACTTGTGATGAAAAGTGCTCAGTAATCTGTTGAATAAATATTTTTAAAATACCTCATTCGACTCTATGACTCACCAAAAGTGTAGGAAGCTTATATTATCATCAATGTCATCCAAAATCGGTTCAAACGGCAGGCGAACTAACTGTGATGATCTAGTGTAATAGATGCATAGAAAGTTAACAAAAAATATTTTTAAAACGATTGAACTGAAGAATCAAGTTCCTGGTAGTAATAATGGATAGTGGTTAGCAGTGGAATCGCGGACGAGCGTTTCGTCCTATTTGGGACTCGTCAGTTGGATGTACCTGTCTCCAGTGAGTGATGGTGTTCTCACAAAGACTTGAACCTAAGATCGGTCGGTTCAAACACATTATCCACAAGGCCACTGAGGTCACGACAACAAACAATAGCATAAACCAAGTAGCTGAACATAAAAAAATTATAAAAAACGCACGCTTGATTCACTTACTTGGAATAATTGACTACGTTGACTCATCAAAGTGACTAATTTTGATTTTAATTGTGAATCCAACCGAGCCACCATCAGTTCAACAGCATTGCGTAATTCTCTTACGCGTTCTTCTTTAGCTTGTTTAACAGCTTGCACATTTTTTTCCTTTCATTATTATCATCATCATCAGCGTTATCATTATTATTGATGAATACGACGAAGACAAACATAAAATATAGATAAAGGTAAGAAGTAGGTTCCATGAAGCTATTTTAACGACGAAGAAAATATTAGCTTAGCGACGTTTGTCTATTATACCTAAGACAAAAAATTTGTATCTTGAAGGAATTCGAAAGCACTAATCCGTATGAAAGACAGAAATATGATGAAAATGACAAATACCGTTATTGTGAAGTCAAAAGACGATACTTCCGAAAGACGGCTAAAACGCATCACCAACAACAAATAACCTGGATATACTATGTAATGGTGTCAGGTGATATGCTTCGAACTAGTCGTAAAGATGGAAGACATAATTGAATACGATATGATGAGAATCGGTAATAACCATAAGACACACGAATTCTAGTGAGAAGTCAGACTCTATTTCATACCCAAGATGAGTGTATAAAAGATGATGGTGATACTCTGTCACATAAGCTGTAACAAGCGAAGTGAGTTACACAATTGTGTAACAGTTTTTTACCTAACTTCCAAAACTTTTTTATTATGATGCAGTCGGTAGAATTGAATTACTGTCCTCAGTAGTAAAATGGTCATTTCTTAACAATTACACCGTATGTAAACTCTTGAACGAAATAAGTAGTTAGCAACCATTTACAAAAATCAGTATTACCTGGTAGTCAAAATTTCAAACGACCACTTCACTTGTTTGAGATCGGGATTATAAAAATGAATTACTCAAACCTACATTGATTGCTCATTGGAGAGCAACCAATCTCAAGTTGTCAAGTCCTGAGTGCTGATCGAATAGTCGGTCATTCTGCAATGTTGCTGGAGAGCTTGGAGGCTCACCACCACGGTGCAAGTTGGTTATTTGGTTGGAGGCAGTCGATAGGAAGACCTGCCCGACCTAACTTTTATGCTTGTTGGTACTCGTCAGCAAGACGTGTCCGTTCTTGTATGTATACAATGTATATAATCCAGTTCTATTGGAGGTCAGTCGCGGCCCGAACACTGGGTGATGGGGGTAGGAATCTCAGGTAGGATACCACTTCCCTCAAGGTTGCACAAACATGTGGCTGATGAGGACCAGCAAGTACGAAACCCAGATCCAAGGCTTCCCGCCAATTACCTATAACCAACTAACATCCATCAAATTACTCAAACCACCTAATTTGGCAATTTAGCAATACTTGGAATAAAAGCAAGTGTACAGATGATACCTCATCTGCATTGGAAACAACTTGTCAACATGCAACGCAAATGCAAAATACTACTGTGATCTTTTTATAAAATAAAACTATTAATCATGAATCATGCCAAAACCTTGCTTGGTATTCGACGACAAACGAGTCGCTTTTGCAGAACATTCACAATCTCACACGAGATACAAAGTAAGCTAATTTGCAGCGTATTGCTGTTATTAACTGTACAACATTTTCGATTGACAGCTAACAATTAAATTCTCCATCTTCAAATCTTTTCATTTTAAGCAAATTGTTACAGTCAAAATAATGAGATATGCGAGGAAAGTGCTTAGATCAATATCATCATTACTTCAAAGAACAGCACATTAAAACCTAACAAGTTATACTTATAGTCCATACATCTAGTAAAATAAAAGTTGGTTGAATGATTCGATCACTAGATCGGGGCCGATGTAGCTGCGGAACCCTTAGTGCCAAATTCGAAGAATCTCGATTATGCCGGCATTGTTATCACTAAGCTAAGTGAAAAAAACACTACGGCTCATTATATTTCGTTTTACGAGTTTGGAGATGTTTCAGGAGAAAGGTTTGACTCACCAGTATGGCATATATCTACAACCTTGAAGAAATTCATACTCCCTTGTCAGTCTTTACATACCTCATGGAATAGAATAATATAGGTTTGAATCTCCAAGGAAGAGCAAGATTTTTCAGGATTTAAAATACACCTCGCTGACGAGTGCCAACAAACAGGGTTTCCTTTCATCATTCGGGTCTGTGAATTTCGCACGGCAATTAATTACCCAAAAATAAGGTGAAGAAACTTTGAGAGTAAGATGGGACTGGTTTCTTACACTAAAATCGGTTAAACAGACCCAATGTATCAATCACGATCATCAAACAGCGAAAAAACCAATAGAAAATTGCCACCAATAAATTGAGGCCTGAAGCAACTACTTAACTGCAGCTTTCGTAAATCTTAGCTGTGAAATATATATATATATATATATATATATATATATATATATATATATATATATGAGACGTTTTCCTCTTCCAAATTCCTGGTTAAAGGACCCGGCATTCTTTAACTACATGGCTCACCTGCATAAAGATACTGTCCAACTTCAGACTTATGAACAACTTAAATAATATTGTGATCACAGTAATAGCACGTTTTCCGTCGCCCAGAAATAAACTGTATTAATACCTAATAAAAATACAAAATTTGAGGCGGTTAAGCTATTCGTCTGCTCATCTCATCTGACATGTTTAATAAAGCAGACCAAACTTTGGGTAGGTAAAAAAGGATTGCTTGCTTTTTCATGAAATCATACCACTTGTTTAGCCAAATAGAGCGTGATTCATATTGTTGTACTATGTGACTATAAACATCAGAAGTCGAAGATTGGAGGTGTGAAGAGGCTACAAACACTGATTTTCACTGACTTCTTAGCATTGTTCACGTCCACTGAAATAAGTCAGGTTAGATTTATAGTACTAGTTAGAGGACGCCAATAAGTTGAAGAGAGCATGCCATATGCGTCAAATTATATGCGTGTTTGATAGCTTTCTACAACTAGTTGTGCAGTTAACTTCATTTGTTTTACTCCCCTCTCATCGGTTTTTTAGTGTTATTTTGTTTGCGAAACCACGGTTGTCCTAGACAATTGCATCAATTAATGCCAAGATGCTAGTAAGCAGTCCCAGTAACGAAACATGTGATAAATTAGCTTTGCTTTATACTACTGAAGTCGAAATTCAGTAAGTAATAAAAAATGTAGAAATATGTTCAATAACTTGCTGTTCAAAACTCCACTTTTATCCCAGTTACAAGGAAGGAGTTGAAATTACAAATTACATAAGAAAATGGTAAATAACTTAGCAGGGCGTTGTGCAACCGATCAAGTATGCTGGTGATTAGGAGGTTACTTCGACTCTGAACAGCTAAGATGTGATAGAATAAATACATTGCTTTCACTTTCACATATGACCAGAAATATAAGAAATCTCAGCTTGTCACTCAAAGATGAATCAGCATAAACCAGTCGATCGGCCAGTGTCCTTCAAAAATTAAACGCTTTCCAAAAGGGGCAAGAGAATTGTTAGTGTTTCCACTTCTTATGATATTACGATACTTGGGCAACTATGCATACACTTCTGATAAAGTGGCGAAAAAGACAGATGTTTTGTATAGTAAGTGACACAGTTACTGTATGGAAATGTATTTCTGTTTGTCTGTTTGAAATTTTTTCCTTACGTATGGACTTTTAATGGAGTTTAGAATCAATACGCAGCTGTAAAACCTACTTTTAGATGACTGCGTTCCATTCAGAACGAATACAATGCAGTTGATAAAGTTGTATTGTTTTGACATGACAAGACTTTAAACAAGATAACTGTTTTGACATTTCAAGTTTTTAGTGAAAATGATAGAACCAGGTGTAGCTAAGAGATCCCTTTGTTGTAGAACAATGGTCTGACGTGAGCTGTCCCCAAGGGCTGATTTCAGTCAGTAGTATTCAATTTGAAACAGTGAGATGGTGAAAGTCATAAGATTTTAAAAACTGAAAATGATAGAAAAAGGTGGAAGAGTCTCTGCATCCAGCAACGCTAACTCATGTACAAAACATGCTTTGAAGACATCTGCAACCTAATGACTGCATTCGTTTTGTGTTATCTATTTATGACGGTTACTTTTTACAACGCTGACTATCGTAAGGATATCAGCCCAACCTTACAGGTGATAAGGAACAGTGCGACTCCTTAGAGTAAATTAATAGATGTGCTCAATGATCTTATAGATTAACATTAAAGTAGGTTTTAAAACAGTCCAGAAGCGGAGAATCAATCTTCACTTGAAAGTTGGGAAACATGTGCTTAAAAGCCTGGAAATTCTCACTTAAGGTCGACCAAGGACCAAAACAGTCACCTCCATTAGGATGTTTATAACACGGTAGAATAGGAATTGTGATATGAAACGTCCCCAAAAGAAACCACTGGATGTTCTCATCTCAAATGATAGCTCTACGCAAGCCTTTACGCTGCTGAGAACTTCAGGATTTTAGCAATAATACTGATTGCAACAACTATCTTTTGGCTACCAAAAGAGGATTTTTTTCATGTGCAAAATATAAATTACACAAGTAAAAATACATCCTATACAATGAATGCAAAATATAGTGATAAACGATTGAAACTAGTTTAAAGAGGGGTATTAAACCCTTATAACTCATATAATAACACAGTTAGACTAGGTGTTAATCCACAAATACTTCTTCAGGAAGATTGTCAAGATCTGTTATACCAACCAAGCCAAGATTTATCCAAGCATTCTTAGCTTTGGCGAAATCCAAGAGACCAACTACATCACAGTGACAAACAGTAGGAACCATGCCAGAGTGGCAGCAAACAAGTCTGTGAATGTGGCAAAAAATAACATCTATTTTTGACGCTGCGTAACCGAAGACAATTCAGATGGAATTCTTTGACTTTAGTTTCTTTATTATCACTATGTATAGATGAGATTTTGAGAGGGATTATACTCCATCCAAAATTTAGATATGCCTTGGCCAGAGCCACACAGTAGGAGATGTTGTCAGACAGACATTTAGATGATAACTACTGTCTCCTGTGACTAGACTACGCACACAGACCAACTTGCAGAAAAAATGCCAATAATAAGTTCTACGTCAATGTGATAGACTCAATCTGCTATAACCACTCACTGAGAGGCAGGCACACCCAGCTGACGAGTCCGAAATGAGACGAAATGCGCGTCCGAGATTCCGCTGCTAGTCATTATTCATCATTAATATTCAATCTATATTTACGATGGTACAAAAGGTTCAGAACTTACTAATTGTCTTGAAGAATTCAGACTTGATGCAGCGGTAGTAGGAAGTCAAGCTTAGCATACCAAAAAAACTTTGAAGACCAAACACTACAATATCAGTTGCTGTCTGGTGACGGGTTAGTATGCCCAGACGTAGAATATTTGAGATAAGTTAATTAACAGGAAACAAGACTACAAGAACACTGTAGATATCTACTCAACTAGAATTCCTAAACAGAAAACTTCCGAGTAAGAAATGCATATATATGATCAATAAGGAGGGATAATAATCTATCCCTTTGTCTACCTCGGTGTGCAATGTTGTATTACTTTTGGGGAGGGTTCAGGGTGACCAGTCCACGAAGTCCCTGACTGTTGATCTGAGCCGTGTAGGGAGGTGTAGACTACCTAGCTGGGGTCCCCGAGACAATAGAAGTTAGTGGCTGAAAACTCTTGGTGAAAAGGTTAAGAACCGGTCATTGATGTCTTCTAAAGCTTGAATGCTTGACTGACTTTAATTTTAAAATTTCCTCTCTTGCTATACACCTTTGTCTACTTTGATATCAGTCTTATCTATCTACTCGTTCTTTGTATACTATTGTGAGATTCTACGTTGATTCTGTCAATCTGTCCAAGTAGTGTGTCTGTGAGGAGGCGATAGTTGTCTTAGGGTAAAATAAGTAGTAAATTAATAAGTTGTACCACTACTGATTTTCAGTATGAAGTCCTACTTGTTTTTGTTTATCTGTCTATTGAAAGCTAAATATGTAAATCTATTGTCTAAGTATCTCTAAACAGTGTTTATATCCAATAGGATGCTCAAGTAAATAGTAAGTGCTTAACTTCGACTTTATAGCTTAAATGTAATAACTGATGTGATATATTCTGACTGATTCATGAAAGTAAGACTTAAGTGAGCAAATTCATTCTCAGTGGCATAACTCTCAAAAGCTATACAACCGCATCCCACTAGAATCAGTGTGCACATCTAATAGTTAAAAAAAATGTCAACATATTTTGAAAAATAATGATTTTTCGCAGGTATTCGCTAGAGAACGAATATATGGATCAAATTATTGTGTGAAGTATCAAAGTATTCAACAATACAAGTACTTGGCTGTTGTGTTACCAGATACCAAAGGATGAAGATTATGTGACAAAGTGGATAGTTGTCAGTGAAGTACAGAATAAATTAAAAATTTACATACTGATAAAATTGATAAATCAAAACTTAAGGTGCCTCTTCGCCCTATCCTAGATATGATGAATAACTCACCCACCTTATCACGAGATCTTCAAATGGCTAGTAAAACTACTTCAACCTTTACGTGATGAATTAACAAAATACAGTCTGAAAGACACCATTCGGTACATAGATAGTAAAAAACTCCTATGTATTTAGAAAAATGCATAGGATTACATTTGCGAATAATTGTTTGGAAGGAAATTAGACACTGACATTCCCATTATGAATTTCAAAGAACTATTGCTAAAATGCACAATGAATATTCAACTCATCTTTAACGGAATTTGTACAAACAAGTTGACAGAGTGGCTATGGGATCTCCATTAAGCCCAATATTTGCAGAGATATTTCCGGTAAAATTGGAAAATGGTCCTTTGAAGGATCAAATTGCCAATATCCCGTTTTACTGCCGATAAATGGATAGTACTTTTTTTAGTCTTTGACAAGTTCCTATGCATGAACTGTATTCTGGATCACTTCAAAAGTGTTCATCCATTAGTTCATTTTACTTATGAGAATGAAATCAATGATTCGACAGATTTTCTAGATCTCCTAATAACAAGAAAAGAAGACGGCTCTAAACTGAGAAGTATACATAGAAAACCGACGACTAAGATACAGTATACACATCTAAGCTTTGTACCGATGAAATACAAATGTAATATAATCACCAGGTGCCTAGCATCTAAATTGTGTAAAAAGAACTACTGTGTATCAGTGGTATCCTAAGTGAAAACGGATATGCGGGAAATTTTTTCAAACCAAACATTATTAATTGTAATCCCAAACGAAAATTCATGACACTATGGGAGAAACCTTTGTTTCTGCGATCACAGTCCAAGGGAGATGCTCCTAGCGACATTATTTCGCAAAGCCTAGCTGGAACAATCAATAGAATGTTTTGTGCAGGTCATCTTTGTATATCTTTCAGCAGTTGGCAAATGCTCCGTCCGAGACCATAGGATAGCCTACCGAATCTTAGCTCTTCATCTAGCACATATCAGTATAACTGTTTCTGTGGAACAAGTTAGATGGAGTGTACGATTCGGTAGGTGCGTCTCTGGATACGAGAGCATTTACCGACTTCGTTTGGAAAAGGTGAAGTGAAAGTGGTGAAAAGTTCTGTCCTAGCGCACCTAATAAATACGTGATATCATATAGATGTCAATAAAGCCTTTGATGTTATATATCGTGTACCAAAAACAATACCAGGTGTAGCTCACCAACACCTGATCAATATAGATGAGTCTGTCTCAATAAGATTCATCAAACCTGAACTGTGCATTCAGAAAGAACATGTTCAAACCTTATTCCTCCGTTGGTCTTCAATAGGTTGATGACCACTCCTGTCTTCGTTATTTGTTGTCTTTTCGTTTAGTATCATATTTTTCATCTGTACGTATGTCATACTAATATTCACTATATATATATATATATATATATATATATATATATATGCTATATCTAGAGAACAAACTATAACAAACGTTTGTGATTCATTGTTGAGGCTTTAGCGATATAGAAGTGGGAAACAAGTAACCTATCTATGAGGGATTTTCTCATACACTGTCCCAGCTCACTTTTTAACACTACAAATTCTTTAACCCACTTTCGATAGGTTCTCATCAGGTTCTACAATTATAAAATGGGATTTTACAATGTAAACCAAGCCACGTTTGAGGTAAATGGATTTTCAAAAAGGATGTGAATTAGGGACTGTAAGGAAATCGGTTTTTCTTTTCAAATTTCAGGGAAAGTTGAAAAAACAAAAAGGGACGGAAGCACACCAAGACCAAAGTAAGTTAATGCCAAGGTAGAAACAAAGACTGTACATATTTCTTTTGCACACAAACGTCAGGTTTCATTCAGTTTCTCTCATTGTCATTTTTGTTTTTACATTTAATAGTTTCTGGTGTTACTTCATTTGATCTTCCAAATAAAGATTTTAAGTATTTCAGGAATACTTAAATTATGATGTTATAAAAATTCTAAATGTACTCCACGTCTACAGTTTTATGAGCAAAGTTCGTTTTGGCGACTAATAAAGCTGAGATGTCTTTGTCTAGTCCATATTTTAAAAGAAACTACACCAAATTCAAAAAGTGATTCGTTTGGTTAGCACAATCCAGACACATTTCCAAGTATGTTCTATGCTGAATTGTTGATTCAAACTTTCAAAGTAAAATAACATTTTGGTATTGCATCAAGTTAGTCAGTAGAAAGTCCCAAACTTAGGTTTTATGCTTGTTGGTACTCATTAGCAAGGTGCATTTAGCATATTGAGAAGAAATGCATATACCCTTGAAGAGCCAAACCAGCATCACTCAGGGTTGAGGACAAAGTTTCACCAAAGGGTTATTCGGGTCACGACTGACCTTCTCTTTGTAGAGGAGTGGAGTATGCAGTGACGGATCACAGGATAGTAACTGGTGTGTATCTGAAGGTCAAAGTGATGAACAAACTCTGTCGATAAGTTTCTCTTAGTGCTAAGCATTTAGGACTAGAGAGCTATTTCGTTACCAGCCGGTGACGTACACATGTTCTATCTTCATATAACCATGTAAGATATTCCGCTTAAAACTGACATGATAACATCGAAATTGGGTATGAGTACTGCATAAATCATGGTACCATAGTGACCTTCTCTAAACTATTATAATTAATCCATTCTAATCTGAATTAGTTAATCAGTAAAGGCTTGTAACACTTAAATATGTGATTGACAGTTATGTACTAACAACTCACAAGAAATCTTCACTAAAAGTTGAACAATCATTAAGAAAGTGTCCAGATAAATCAATATACTCTCAGTACACATGTATGAAAGCGCCTTTCCTCCTAATGCTTTATTATTTTTATAGTAATTGTGACTATATGGGAGATAGGCAATTGGAGGATAATGTATGGAGCCAAGAAATAACCTGACTGTATTATTGCCATTTGTGTTTATAAACCCACTGAAAACTGGGAAAGTAAGAGAAAGACCTGCCAAGTGAGCCGGGAGGATCATATTCTAAGCGGGTCGCGATTTCGCATAGATCATCGGCGATTTTGACCGGTTACTGTGACATAAATAGATGATGCATAACTGTCAGTTCACTGATGAAACTAAAAGTCAAGTCATATCCCAATCAAAATCCGGCTACGCTACAGAAGGACATTAGACTGGATATGTTTAAGTCTTACATTTCCTGTGGGAGTCATGGTTGAGCATTGTTGAGGAGTCCCATAGTAGGACGAAGAAGCTGTCCAGAGCTCCCAGGTTTCCAATCTTCCTCCAACTGGTGTCAGTCTATGATGAATGCCAACTTGAAAAACCTTATATTTCGGTTAAAAGATCTCTAGGTCGGTAATTTGAAGGCTGCCCGGTTACAGGTGTGCTTCATTTATCACCTCTTAACATAAAGACTTATCTGGTAAACTACGGTTATCCTAAATCATCTTACCAACAGAGCTGAACATGCTGAATACTTTCAATACTCATTGAAGAGGAGGAGGATGATTAAATTAATATTTTAAGGGAATAATTATAAAATGTCTTTTCATTTTAAAACTTACAACATCTTGAAATAATGATATTAATTCTAAATGTCTACGTTTTAATTGATCCATTTCATTTTTAATTTGCTTAACATGTTCATTGTAGACTTCTTCTAATGGACGAAATGAATGCTGTTCATGTTTATTATCAAATAATGCACACTGATGACAAATTGAAAAATCACACGTTGAACAAAATACAGATAAACGTTCATTGTGTAGTTCACAACTGCGAATATATATATAAATTATCATTTTTTTGTCCATCACAAGTATTTCATGGATTGTTTTGTTTCGATCCCCAGTAGAACATGAAAAATTGAGAAGAAAAAAACAACATACAAACAAATAAAAGCATTTTGAGGTAGATGGGGTTTTTCTACTTTTAACGTAGTATTCACCACAGACAGACATCAGTTGGTGAACCGTAAAAAACCTGACAGCACTTGACAGTTGTTTTTTCCCAGTGTAGAGACTCCTCAGCAGCACACACCTATGGTAGGACGAAGCAGCTGTCCAGTGCTCTCAGCTTTTCAATAGTTTCCCAAAGGATAACACTGTGGCATTTGAAGCTATCTATCCCGAGTTCGAGTCCCGGTGGGAATAACACTCACCGGGGTCCAGGTACATCCAGCTTACGAGTCCCAAATAGAACGAAACCGGTGTCCTGGATCCCACTACTAGCCACTAGCCATCATTAATACATATAATTAAAACAAAGGCAATATCGAGGCACCCGCCCAGAAGCCCATATGCCAATAGAGACCGATCAATCCGGTCTAATCAGCGACGGTATAATACAAGCAATAAAACTAGATGAATACTACCTTAAAAATATATTGAATGTGAAGTTGATCAATAGATCTTAATACCATCATGATAATAGTGTTTACAATTAGAAGAAAATCTGACAAGACAGTTGTTATGGTACAGGATAAACCAATGAGTATCTGTCTATGATTTAATACAACAACCAGCTACAACAATTGATGTTTACAGCAGAGTTGAAACAGTCGGTTCGTGTAAACCACACAGCAGATTATACATGTGAAAACTTGGTTGTAACTTCCATTGTGATTAGAGAATTTTGGTTAAGTTAAATAATAGTCCTTATGTGATAGTTATGCTGATAATATTTCGAAATAATTCGTCCAGGCTGAAAGTTGTTATGTACTTACTGTGGAAAAAAAAGAAACCAGTTTAAGTTGTTAGCTTGGTAACTACAGAGAACTATGGTGAAAGTACACACTTCTTAAAGTTTCAATGATAAAATCCTCACGATTGAAAGTGATGACCGATAGTATTCAACTACTTTTGTTCTGTATTACAAAATCAATGAAAGTGAAAGGAGTTGAGCCACCGGACTAAAAACCAGTCATCAAGAGAATTGAAGTTTCTGGGTTTGTCTTCCTAGACAATCAGATTTTTACACTGGCAAAGAGTCCTGTTACAGATTGGAAGATTATATGGATGCGAAAAGCAACAAACCAATGACGAGTAACCACGGTTTAGTAATTCCCTATCCTCATGAACTCAAAATTCGACTAGACTGCGCAGATATATTACGACCTTTTACACTATCTAAGCCAACTCAACTTTTCTGTTTTTCTTTGTAAGCTGCTATGACAAATATTAGAGTTGAGCTAGAATTCACACACGATAAAAAAGGCTTGTTTAAGCACAGAAAGCGACATCTCAAGAAAAGTAGTAACAGAACAATTCATCAAATATAGCCAATCAACAGACATTGAAAATATAAATGCAGTGCAGTTCAGCAGCCTGTTACAGGTTTGTAATGAAATCAAAATACACGTAGCAAATAAATGCTTATTCGTGTGGTGGGCAATTAGCCACACCAAATGTTTCATGGTTAACGATACTGCCTGACTGTCTAAACCTTGGTGAGTGGAACGGGATTCGAACACGGCCCACCAGTTAAAAGTCGAGTGCCAATACTACTGGGCCACAACTCCACAGGTCTCAGCACTATATCGTAAATCACTTAAGCAGAGTCCTCCAGTTGAAGCAGATGGATCGCAGTTCACACCTATCACCCGGTATTTAGTATTAAAAAGCTTAGACCAGTGAAATCCCGCCCCCAAATCCCTCAGACTGAAACTGTCCACCAGTTTTCAGATTCTTAAAAATGATCTTCAGAACGTTAACATAACAGTTCACTGACTTTCTAGTTGATGATTTACGCAGTAAAAAATACATCAAGAGCCTAAACCAAGAAACTTCCAAACCACTTTCCGTGATTCATCATTGAGCATTTATGCTATTGTAACCGCTGATCAACGAAAAGCGACAAGTTGATTTTGATTATATATAGATTTGATATATTTCTTATTTATTTATCATAACTTACTACACCGATATATATATATATATATATATATATATATATATATATATATATATATATATATATATAATCATTCTATGCCATATCTTCTCATCTCTTTCGCAATCTGGACAGCCTTGCCAGCCAGCTTCAACATTGTGCGGACATCCCATACCTTCATTCCTACTTTCGCTTCCATCGAGAGAAGAGAAGACAGATCGGCCGACTGGCTTCTCGAAGGCTTTCACCAAACAGCGTCATTTTGTCTCTCCGATTCCAGCGAGGAATAAGTTTATTTTTATTTTCTATTTTTTCTTTGTGCTTTGAAGTTTCTTTAGCGATTGGGTTGGTTTTACGGGGTAGGGTTGCTAGCCCTATGCCCAGCCTTCCCTCTTTACCCGGGCTTAGGACCTGCTAGTAACTAGTGAACTAATTAACTAGGCGCACCAGGCCCTCGAGTGGAACCCAAAGGAGAAACGACGAGTTGGGTGTCCGAGAGTGACATCGAGATCTTGTGAAGAAGAAATGAAAGCTTGTGGGCAGTTGTGGAGCCAGGTTCAAAAGACTGCAGAGAGCAGAGTGAAATGGAGATGTGCTACTGAAGCCCTATGTTCCACTAGGAACCCAAGGGACAAATAATAGTAATAATATGTAATCATTACAAATGAGTCTTTTCCAACCATATATCTCCTGAATGCTTACGGTTGACATGATTATTTATCTCTCCCCGACAATTCACGAGTAAGAAATATCCCAAACCATGCACCAAATACAGGTGCTTTAATATCAACCTATTACCGGCGTCTGTAAACAGTACGTGTTGGTGTAAGGTCGGCGGGCACTCTTATCAATATAATTAGGCCACAATTTCTAGACACGAATACCTATGACCAGAACAATCGAATTTTCATAAAGTATGCTCTTTTTAGTGTTCTATATTTTGACTTAATTGATAAGGAAGGTTGAATCAAGGTTTCGTGCTTTTCTGAGTCATCATTAGTAAGGTGTAGTAATGCAATATCAAGGAAATTCATAGTTCTTCGGAGATTCGCAAGCACATCGCCCGGTTCCTCTGTTGGTAATTTTACAAAAAAGTTACCCAGCAGCAAATGAATAACCAGTATATATGATTAACTGCTATTATGTATCAGTTAGTTAGTTAGTTTGCTAAAACAGAGCAAAGTTGTCAGCTTTAAAGACGATTAGACTAACCGTTGTTTGCTTTTATCCTCAATCGGTCATTATTAGCGTGAAAATTGTCATTACCACTTAAGCGTCAAAGCTGTAACACCTCATATAAGCAAATCAAAGTTGAAGGCATCAATATTAAAGGAAGGGAAGTAGGAAAGAAAGTAGACAAAACGGAAGACAGTCATGAAAACAGAACAAATATAAAAACAACAATGAAATCCCGCATGACAGTTAAGACAGATAATGTGTGGATGCATCTGCGCCACTGACTTTGATTCCGAGCCATACCACCTAAAATCTCAAGCCAACAATTTCGGCTGTAATGAGGAGTGTCCTAACCGAGAACTCAGACCAACAGTCAGAGACTTCAATGGCTGATACCATGTTTTAGTCTCCCCACCTCGTACCATGTCCCATAAGTTTACTTCAGATAACACTGCATGGTGGGCTGGACGGTAACGCAAAGCCCACCCGTCTAAGTCCATGAAGGTTCACAACCTCACTCACTGACTCACCGCTTCTGCCTAAAACTCTTCACCCAATGTTGGCATTACTGACACCATGGATCCACGACAAGCAGTATATACTAAGAAGGCAACGGTGGCCGAGCACCCGATCACACTTCTTAAGTAAGTGAAATGGTGAACACACTCAACAACTTCCCTACTTATTGTTAAACGGGGCATTCATGCAAACTAGTCCTGCAGCAACAATATGCACCTGGGTGGTGGAAAAAACATCCCAAGCATTCTCGAATTAACACTCAAAGTGTCTAATAGACTCTGGACATTGTCAGCATCTTCATAAAACACGAGTAACGTCTGCGTACTCTAGGTCTACTAGGGAGTCTCCTGTGAACAATTTCTGTAAAGCTAGATGATGAGAGAGAGATCTCACTAGGCACATCTATGACGAAATTATATGAGTAGAGAGGGTGGGAAGACTATCCGAATGTTCTGTTTAACATCTGACTAGATAGCGAGTAAATAAAGACTACCTGGAAGCCAGATGAACTGCTCCGCAGATCGTTCCAATCGCCTTCTTTATGAGTGAATCAGAACTTGTCCGTTTCCGCTATGTTCATACTAACTCATTAACCTTTTCGCTTTCGTTTTCTTGATTAATCTAAATAACTGCCTTCTGTTCTCTACCACTGCTGCCTTTTCCATCGCTTTGACCTTTGCTGACTACCACTGCTCACAGTCATTGCCTAGACTCTTTGTTAGTCTACATGCGAATGGCGTCCATTCCTCAGTTCACTCGAACGAAGAGAGTTGCGTTCGCATGCATCCATTATTTCGGAAGAAGCTGCTGAGATAGACTAACTCTTTTTAACTGACATCTGGGTATTAGTTACGGTCTTTAACGCCGTCTTTACAGCACACAGGAAATGGGATCAGGCTTCTTCAGGATGAGCCAAGTTGTCCTGTTCCGATAATTTTCTAGCCAGTTAATGGCCGGAAGCAGTCACAGTATTTTGATCATCGAGCTGCACTCCAAATAGTATTGCAGATGCATTTTTTCGGCAGCCATTTAGGCGGAGACATTTGCATGCTGTAACAAACGTGTGCTCTAGGAGCAGCTTAATATCCTACTAACTGTCAGACAATTACTGATACAGGTATGGTATATTTGTGCGCGCCGTTGAGTAAGGGTTTGTGAATAGAAAGTTACGCAACGTCTCTCTTTACTTCTGAAGTTCTTGCTGGTTAGAAACAGTAGGTTTTCTGAGCACGTATATAGCAGGTAGTTACCATTTTCCCAACTGCAAGTCAGTTGGTGCTACAGTAGAGATTACAAAGAGTAGACGGCAAGTTTCACTACTCTTTATAATTCTCATCGCACCACTCAGTCGAACAGGGCACAGGCAACTGTTAACTGGGACCCAGCCAAGCAGTGGGATTTCTGCCTTAGGACTTTACGCTATATTTACACCTCCAGTACCGTAAGTTTCAGCCATCGATTCTTCAATAACTCAAAGAGTGAATTTCATTGACTCACCGTTTTGACTAAGTGAGGTCAAGTGAAATACCAAAATTGAGTGCTGTATGCATGTCTTACGAACAAAGCGTACATTCATGTACCAAGAAGCCAGAATTTCGGTTAGAGAAGCAGGTTGTCCGATTCCACGGAGAGTGCGGACACTAAGTGCGCCGACAAGTATTTTGGAGCGCCGTCTCAAGAGACTAGGGATAGCGTTTCGTGAACCTGAATCGTTATTAAGGGCTGCAGAGCTGGAACAAACTAAAGATGACAACGGAATGTCGACAGAAAAAATTTACGAAAAGATTGGGAGACAAAGGTTGACAATGAGTGGTGACAGAGTTGTGAGGGCAGTTAACACTTCCGGGCTGCATAAACCGTGGAAGGTTGTTTCTTCTTGAGGTACCTGAAAACGAAGTTGGAGGCCAGCCACATGCAGTCTTTTCAGAAGTTTGAGAATTAACTTTGGGTTGAATTTAGCTACAGGGTCTATACCGCCAGCACCGAAACACTGCAGAGGAGTCAAGAGTGTGTTATTTTTAGAACCAACCTTTTCTGACATCTGCTTCCTACAGGAAAGGTAGCATTACCACTGACTACGAACAATCCATGAGACACAACTTATTATTGTCCCACCCAACCGAGTCTGATGTACGAATTCGTCCTCGGAGCTTCATCATTGTGTAGCAATCTTCACAATAATGGTAATTGCTTTGTCTTGTCACTGTGCAACAGATTTTTCTGATGTGGTAGGACCTCAAGGAACAAATGTTTTCACCAGAATAGCTCATATATATATATATATATATATATATATATATATATATATATATATATATATAAATCATGAATTGGGACAGTAAACACTGGCAGGTGCAACTGGGAGTAATTCACAATGCTAAGAAATCCACTACGATAAGCAATGAAATTGAAGATGTAGACCAAATTAGAGACGAAACGGGTTTACAGTATCCCCACAGAAAGGCATATATTGAATCCAATATCAACAATTTGCTCTGTTTTTCTCTCCAGAACGTCAGCTGGTCAATTTTGTGCTCTTACAACTTTTGCTAGAGATGCCACACTTCATACCATTTTAAAAGCATTCTTATCAGCAGCACAACCCAGAAGATTACTAATGCACTGAGTGCATTTCGCTTATTCGAAATTACTGTGAGGTCAACGATGCAGTGTGAAGGCGTGAATCACTACTGATGAGACTATAGAATTACCATTCTATACCACAGACCGACTGAATTTGATGAAATAGAAACGACTATATTTCGAATTTAACCTCGCCAGGTTAACTAGTTCACTAGTTACTAGCAGGTCCTAAGCCCGGGTAAAGAGGGAAGGCTGGGCATAGGGCTAGCAACCCTACCCGTAAAACCAACCCAATCGCTAAAGAAACTTCAAAGCACAAAGAAAAAATAGAAAATAAAAATAAACTTATTCCTCGCTGGAATCGGAGAGACAAAATGACGCTGTTTGGTGAAAGCCTTCGAGAAGCCAGTCGGCCGATCTGTCTTCTCTTCTCTCGATGGAAGCGAAAGTAGGAATGAAGGTATGGGATGTCCGCACAATGTTTGAAGCTGGCTGGCAAGGCTGTCCAGATTGCGAAAGAGATGAGGAGGTATGACATGGAAGTGCTTGGAATCTTAGAAAGCAGATGGAATGAGAGTGGACTCTCCCAACTGTCAACTGCAGAGTCAATAATCTATTCCGATATTGTCAACCAGATGACAACCACGATCACACTGAGTTATTTAGTGGCTATCATGATGTCTCCAAGAGCATCGAAGGCTCTCAGATAGTGGGAACCAATCTCCTCTAGGATCATGACGGGAAGATTCAACTCAAAAGGAAGGAAAGTCACGACCATTCAATGCAACGCTACGCACCTACAAATAATGCAGATCAAGAGAAGAAGGAGGAATTCTACAGACAACTGCAATCAGTGCTGGACAAGACCGCACCCCAGTTGGCGACATCAATGCCAAACTCGGTGCAGACAATACAGGAAGAGAACCCATCATGGGTCGAGGAGCGCTCGGAAAAATGCATGAGAACGGAGAACTGTTTGCAGATTTCTGCACATTCAACGATTTGGTGATTGGAGGCACTGTGTTCAAGCACAAGGATATCCACAGAGCGACATGAACTTCACCAGATACCAGGACACACTAAAAATCACATCGACTTCATATCAATGTGAAGAAAGTGGAGGCGCAGTCTACTGGACACAAGGTCAGATCAAGAAGGTGAGCAGATGTAAGTTCACACCACTCACTATCTAGTGCAAGGAACCTTCCAAATCAAGTTGAAAGCCTTCAAAGAAGTTGGTGATAGACCACAGTTCAAGTCCAACACCCACCCAGAAACTGAACTGAAGGACGGAAGTACAAAGGACATCTTCATGTCAGCCATCAAGACAAAATGTAAGAGGTTAAGCAACATCCCTGAAGGATCAGGAGTAAAAGAACACTAGAGCTCTTTGAAAGAGATGAGGAAAGAAACCTGCATAACCGTATTAGGAAGGAAGACAAAACAAGACAAAGAATGGATCTTCACGGACGCATGGAAGCTGTTAGACCAGGGATGGGAAGAAGGTGAAGCAGAATACGAACCAGTGCAAGGATGAACAACGAGAAGAGGAACTGAGTACAACGTATAAAACACTGAACAAAGAAGTAGAGAAGAGTGCGCACAAAGATAAAAGACACTTCCACGACACATTGGCAAGTGAAGCAGAACAGGTTGTAGGTAAGAGAGACCTGACAACACTGTATCAAATAACCAGGTTGCTATCTGGGAAGAGATCGACGCAGGCGAAACCAATAAAAGATGATGAAGGAAATCTAATTACCAAAGAAGAGAAACAAAGGAAACAATGGGCTGACCACTTCAAGAAGCTCTTGAATAGACTATCACCACCACCAGCAACGACAGAACACAAGCCCCCCGACAAAAGCAGAAGTCCTGAATGTCGTAAAGCTGCTGGAATCCGGGAAAGCAACAGGACCAGATGGAATTCCACCAGAAGCACTGAAAACAGACGCAGAGACAACAGCGGCGGACATGCTCACACCACTACTGCAGAAGGTTTGCAAGGAAGGAAGGAAGGAAGGAAAGGTACCTGCCGGTTGATTGGGAGAAGGGCTACCTTCTCAAACTCCAAAAGAAGGGAGACCTAAGTGTTTGCAAGAGCTGGCGCGGAATCATGCTCCAGTCCACACCAAGCAAAATATTAAGCCGCATCATCCTGGAGAGACTAAAGGATGCGCTGCATTCAAAATTACGACCAGAACAGGCTGGCTGGCTTCAGGAAGAACAAATCATGTGTGGACCAAATTGCAACACTACGCTACACATCATCATAGAACACAGTATAGAATGACAGTCAACTCTCTACCTCAACTTCATCCACTTTGAAAAGGCCTTTGACAACGTCGACCAAGAGGTAATTCGGAAACTGCTTCAACACTACGGAATACCACAAACCTTTATCAGCCTCATTCAACAACTATATGAAGACGCCACATGCCAAGTAATTCATAATGGGAAACTCGGTGATGCCTTAGAAGTGAAGACAGGAGTAAAACAAGGCTGTCTACTATTACCCATGATATTCCTGATTTTGGTCGACTGGATCATGTAGCAAACTGTGAAGACCGGGGAGAAGATCCTAGAAGATTTGGATTTCACCGATGATGATTTATGTCTAATGTCTTATCGCACAAACTCGAAGATCTACAGGCAAAAACTAACAAGTTGACAGAAGAGGCAGGGCAGCGAAGGGAGACGGGACTTCAAGTGAATGTAGAGAAGATGGAGGTGATGAAGATACCCAACCAATAACAGCATCAACAACAAGCACCAATCACCATCAACGGGGGGAACATAAAGGAAGTAGTTTCTTTCGCCTACCTAGGCAGCATCGTTTCAACTGCAGGTGGCACAGACGAGGATGTCAAAACTAGGGTCATTAAAGCAAGACAGGCTTTCATTAATCTGAAATCAGCGTGAAGATCTACTGCACTCAGCACAAATAACGAAACCCGGATTTTCCACACTAAGTCAGTCAAGTCAGTGCTGCTATATAGTTCAGAAACTTGGCGCGTCACGAAAAGCATTTCTAACAAACTACAGACCTTCATCAACAGCAGAGCAGAGTGAAATGGAGACGTACTACTGAAGCCCTATGTTCCGTTAGGAACCCAAGGGAATAATAATAATAATAATAATGATATTTCGAATTTATAACAAGATAGTAAAACACACATAAAGACATTTAAAGGTTCTAGGTGCGATGAAGGGTACATAATGAGAATTTTTAAAGAACCGTGACCGAAGTCGCTGAGTGGTAAAGTCCAACATTATAATTACTATTCACAAAAATATAAAACGCATATGTGATAAAATAAGTAGGAAAAGATCTTACAGATCAACATTAGATGTCACTGTAGCATTGACTGATGCAACTACGTGATCACCTTGACCACTAGACCTAGATGAAGTCGCTTGTGATTGCAGATTATCCAACTGTTGAGTGACTTCATCAGCCCAGCGACAATTAATCAGCTCATAAATATGTAATGATGCACTTTATTTAGGAAGAATAAAAAAATAAAGACAAAATTACACACTGCAACAACATACCGTTTAACTTCATATATAAACGTATATAAAAAAAATCATATGCAGATTCATGCATTGGGCAATGAGCTACACCTAAAATATGAGGGTTGATGACACTACCTGACTTCCTCAACCGAAGTAGGTGGAGTGGTGGCCAAACCTGTGGTCGAATTATTGAAAGTCAAATGTTTAGACCAAGGAGCCATGGCTGCACTCATAAATTATTTCGAATTTCATATATGAAACCTGAATTGATAAATAAAGAGATGAACCTAAAATGCAACAAGATTTTCTGTGGGATTTGGCAAAATAAACACAAACCTCTACACTAAAAATATCTTTTGGGCTTCGGCTTCATTGGATAATTAAAAATTACATAGTAGGGGAGCATGAAAACTAAGAACTAAGATGGAAAAAAATTCATTGAAACAGACATAAACAAATCAACGTAGAACCTGGCACAGAAGTGTATTGGTTCAAGTTGCCACACTTCAAAGCAACATGCAAACAAGATATGGATTAAAAAAATAGTGAAATTCAGGTAGACAAAAGTGTATGAGGGTTCGATAAGGAATCAAGATTCAAAACTCCAAACACAGATAAGCGTTTTTTAATGAAATTTCTCCCTACCTATTGACTAAACACACGATAATGCCAGCTTTACTTATTTACCTGGAGTACAGGTTATCTGAAGGGATGAGACTAGAAACATCAGAAAGAAATACCGGGTGATGATTGAGGGTGAAATGTAGATTAAAGCCGCGGTGGGATTCAAACCAGCGGCCACCGGGTTTCTGGCCTGGTGCCCTACCAACTGAGCTACGAGACTCAACTGCCAACCAGATTCTTATTTCATTTCAATCACCAAGGTTTTTGCCCGACTACCTTGTAAATTCGTTAGGCGTCCCTACTGCTTGATCGTACTCGTTCGAATCCCACCCGCCCAAATTTTCATTTCACCTTCAATCATCACCCACTATGAGTACTAGTCTACCAAAACACGGTTATTTCACTCAGATAGTCGGAATGAAAAATAAATACGTTACTTAGTCCGGATATTCGGGATTTGTTGACTGGCAGCTCACTTCTAATAGTTCACGAACTGCATACCATTTACAGATACCGTTTGCTTCATAGCTTACTTTCTATTGCCCCTATTATTCTAAATTTATTTCAACACTCCGAGTTTATAGAAAAGCGCTTTCTGAGAATATATACACAAAAATCTTTAGAGATAACCAACGTTAGCCTACTGTATTGCAGTGGGTGAGTCTTCGCTAAGCAACACTTCAATAACTCCAAAAATAGATGTGATGAATTTCCAAAACATTTAAAATATGTAAGGTCTGTTTTCCACTTGATTTCATTCAGTTATTCTTGTATTCCTTCAATAATCACTCTGCGTTCGGAGACTCGATAACCAATTCATGAGCACTCACAAGAAAGCACTTACTAAAAATGGAATACAAACATCACCAATTGATATCAGCAGATAACTGACTGTGCACTTTATAGTTGCGAATTGTAATGAAGGCATCGAAGTATTAATGTGCACATAGATGCTTTTGTCGTGCATTGTATGAAAATCAGAGGTAGTCCCGTTAAATTGGCCTGGATTATTGATCATGCCAGTTTATGAGAAAAAAATATTTCCGTTATAAACACAAGGAAATCAGTTTGAACAACATAGTATCTACGTTCCTAGAGTTTTTAGTAGGCTGTTAAAGATGAAAACTGAAGGTGGAAAATATGAAGAGGCTTAGGATTTTTGAAAGAACGTACCTCTGTGGCATCGTTCAAGCCTGGAGGAACAACATAGTAATGTAGAGCTTAGACGTAGAGGACTGGGAAAGGAAGGAAAATTGGTCCATGAAGTTACGAACCTTTACCGATTGAGGTGGCTTAGATACCTGTCGCGCATGTTCAGCTACTGCCAAAGTTGTCGCAACACGAAATCAAGTGTGAGATTACGCCAAAGAGAGGTAAAAAGTGGTCAAAGTAAGACAATGGAACCAATCTATGACATCACTAACTGTTAACCTGAACCCAGTTGAGCACTGAAGGCGACTCGGCTGGTGTCGTGGAGACGATAAAAATCAAAGTTTAGTAGGCATCAGTAACATGGGTTAAGGTAAGTCTCAATGGTGCAGATGAACCCACTCTGTTATCATCGGGACTGGTGATATTTTAAAGCCTCTATTTAGTCACTTTCTCCCGTTCATACACTTTTGTCTACTCATTTCTTACTCACTTCCTTTCTGCGTGCTTTTCTGAGATGTGGCAAGTAGAACATCTGTGCAAGGCTATATGCTGATTTATCCACCTGTTTGTCCATAACTTATTACATAACCACCGACTTCAGAACACAAAAAGAGTCAATTCCAAGGGAAATGTGAAACGTGTCCAAAACCGCAAGACATTGATTGGCTTAGCTACTGTAGCCACTGACTCTGAATAGTGGTTGCAAGCTCTAGTTGGTGAATGACAGTACTTAAAGTGTTTTCAGGAAACTGTGCTGATATACTACAATTTTTCACTGACAATATTCTCTTCTCTTCAAGAACTTCATTTAATCAGGAACCGAAACACTATCTGACGAGAAGGTTAATATCAACTACAGTAAACATGAGGAGACTATATCATATATAGTCACTGTGACAAAAGATTTAATAAAGAATGCTATCCATTTCGAAGTGCATGCTTAGACTGCATTACACCGTTATACTACCTTGATGTGCAGTTCTAATTAGTCTCTTATAAAAAACTATTTACACTGACCAACACAATCAGACATGTATGTGAAAGAACTAGCACGGATGTCTACTTTTTAGACTATCATACTTTGTAGAAGAGCTGGAAAGTCGTAAGACTATGAGAATGTAAGGAATAAACAAATCTCAAATTTAGGGAAACACTTGAGTTTTCTGGTGTAAAAGAAAGTGTAATAAGATCTATATTTTCAGCAAACAATCAGAAAATGTAGCAACCCTGCTTGTCATAGTTAAAATGAGTGGTTTAAAAAGCTTGTGCCTAAGAATAACATGCCTCATTTCTAGAATTTCCATTCACGTTGGTAAGGTTTTAAAAGTAAGAAGTCAACCTTGCAAAAGTGAATACTTCAGAAGCGCCTGGTACGACCAGTTTCAGACAAATGTCACTACGGCCTTACGACTAATCTTCCAGATTGACAAGATTATCTACACAAATTCAATTTTCGGTTTAAAAAGAGAAAGAAAGTATTCTCGAATGATTCAGATATCCAAGATGGGATTTTTGTGTGCACCAACTGACATAAATGTTTCCTTACATTAGGCTTGTAAATTTTATTGATCTCTGGACAATTCCAAATCCTCCTCTTTCACTCTAGCAGCCCTTACGACCATCGTTAGTAACTCAAGCTAATAAACACTACTTTTGGCTTTCTGAAACAGTTGCTACAAATTCCATATCAGACCGTCAAGTGTTCAAGCTCCGTCAGGCAGAACAATACAACACTTGCAGAAACCACAGATTCCCGCTTTGTGGGTGTACACTTTTCCCGACTTCTACACATGATCCATGTGTTACTGTTCTCATAAACGCAACTATTATGGCTATTTAGTGAGTATAATTCATTCCTTTGATATATAGAAATTTAGTGGAATAGAAATTTAGTGGAGTCCTAACGACATAGATATACCATTATTTGTGTCCACAAAACTCGCAAAATGGATCTTCATTCAGTCATTTGTAGCCGTATAAATTACAGCTCTGAAAATCACGACATGCGCTGACAACGGTTTATAGCCTGCATACTTATCTACGAACTGAAGGTCTAAAAAACCAAAACTAGTTCCACGGAAAGTCCCTTTTTATCCCAAAAATGCAAAGGCAGTTTTTAATTCAGAAAGCCAAGCAACTAAGGAGTAGTGGTTTCAGAATCCTATTTCGGAAAACTAATAACGTACACAGAGTATTTACAACCAAAATGTTTTTTCAAGCTTAATTCTAAGATGCTTTTAAAAGTGCAGTTTGGGAATAACGAGCTAGGAAATGAATTATGTCAAGAGTGGTTGTTCCAGTTATTTGATAAATAAATGTAGTAAGGACTGCTACTAACTTTCAGACTCTTGAAGAAAGCTAATGGTTCTCGGAAGCTTTTCCGAACTAATGGATGCACGGAAACTTATCTTAGTTGACTCTAGAGTGATACAAATTGAAAGCAGATTAAATGTATGCCAACGAAGAATGTATGCAATGGTGATAATCAGAAAAAATGGCAAATACTACTGCACAGTTACTCACTGTACGAGATGGCCAGAGAGACCAACACCAAACCAATCCACCCTTAGAGCTGTGGACTATTTTAGATGAGAAGAATATGAAGACGGTGAAGAGCATGAGGTTATGACAACGTAGCTCCAAGAGCTATTAGGAATGATCACTAGTTAGATTAATCGAAGTGCTAATGAGAGTCAATTTTAGTCATTGGTTGACACTACTTGACATGTAAGCGATATCCAACTTCGAAAACAAACTGATATTTTTACAGGTTCTCCCTGAGAAGGGTATTCTGCAGGTATAATTACATTGATGAAGTTAATACTTGACGACGTTACTACTACAGACGATACGCTCCAGTTCGGTGAAAAAGCCGGCAAACTGTAGTCTGGAAATGTTTCAGGTGCCCATCCCATTTTCCGAAACCAAAATAATGTCGAACGACTGGTTGTTGCAGATGTCATTTTTGAAAACAGGGACCAATCTGCTTAACGCGTTGCGTCGCACCAACCCTGATTGGTTGGCAGTCGAATAAATCTCGAGAAACAAATTTTAAAAAAGTAAAATCCCTAGTAAAATTACATCTTGATACCGATGCAGGGATGATATCCGAATGCCCACTAAAGCTAAAGCATACTAAGCAGCGGTGGACTCTGCTTTACTTTGTAGCCTGAGGGATATGAGAGCATTTCGGTGCCGAACTATACTAATACTGCCCATCAGGTTAAAAATTGAAAGCAGTTCATGAAGATAGAGATTATGAGTTAGTGACTGATCAAAACTAATCGGAATGATACAGTTGAATTCATAACAATCGTCATACTCATCACAGACGTATCTGAATAGAATGCGGCAGTTAGTTAATTACTTCAATTATCACACAAACGACTTATTTAATTCCAGTAAAATGACATGATTGTTTTTTACCAGCTTTCAGTTGCTTTTCACTGTGTTTTCTTGACCAAAAAAGATAACTTTAGCGGAAAGAAAGAGACCGTCTAACGAGGTGTTGAAGTCAGAATGGGCACAGATGTGTTCAATCAATGATATATACCCAAATACAATAAGTAAAGAATAGACGAACGTCTCACTGACTGAAAGATTTCAAAAGACGTACCATCAAAATCAAATAATACCTAAGTGAGGGAACCAATTCATTAACACGTTATAAGCACCTGTACGACAAGTATGGTTCCTTAACGAGTCCTCCAACCGTATTTCTATTTTAGGCCAACGGTTTTTTCATATACATTAACAATTTTAATGATGCTGATTTTAAATACATGTTGGATTTAACAACATTGAGCCCCTCCCCCCCCCACAGTCTCTAAAATGGACTTACAAAATAACAGTGTTATTTCAGAACTATGCTTTTTTCAGTATTGTAACCGTTAACGCAAGTAATCAGATAATACAGCTGTATGTGGCCTCTTTCTACTCAGGATTGAGTCAATCAGTAAATCCTCATAAAGATTACGACTACTAGAAATTAAGCTGTCCAAAACTACCACACAATTGAAAAAATAGGACAACAGCTAAGATTACCGGCAATGAGGGCATTGAGACCGCGTTTCTGTAATCCATTTCTATAAGACTTTAGATATAAGTAAAAATGCTCTTACTCTAATGCATTTGTAACAACAAGTTTTGAGCAATGTGGGCACAAACGGGCATTGTTTAGCTTTCCATGCAAATGAAACAACGAAAAACCTCTGATAAACTCTAAAAATGGATGATTTGATGGCTATATTATGTGTCGTACTTCAAATGTATCGACCCCACTTGACTTTTCATCACGACGACTTTGAGTCATTTTACGGACATAAACTCCAATCCGACCAACAAACTTTATACTCTCCTGCTTTAGAGAAAGGAAAAGACAAATTAGGCACAGTCGGTTGGAGGGTGTATGTAGCGCATCTGATGCAGCTAAACAACCAATTATCAATGTCAGTCACTGTCAGTTAGACACTCAATTTTTGAATAAGTTTAGTAGCGATAATCATCATGACCAAAATATCGTGGCTCACTTTCTCCCTCATGATTCCCTTAGCTGGATAAGTCTTAATGATAAACGCCAGTAAAATTGTCAAGGTAGCCTAACCTCAATCTTTTACACTGTAGACTGAAACATGAATTTAATGCATAACAACATTGAAATACGTAAACCTCATCCTGTCTGCCTAAAAACACCATAACGGTTACTTGCTGTATATGAATTAATTCAGTTCATACAGAATTTGTGCATTGTAGAAGAAATCAGTTTAGTAGACGCAATGAACAGCTTTTCAGATTTTATTAATACTTTGAGCGGAGTCATTATTCGTGGCCACAATAACAGCTAAAATTCCAACCAAACACTTCACAACAGATGTCATAAGGACTATGGTTTAATTTCGTTGGTTAGTTCGTTTGCTCAGTGGGATATTTTACACGGTTGATAGTTGTGTACAGCTGCCATTGTTGCACGCGTTAATTGTGGTATTTACGGGCTCGGTTACAAATCGCTCGTTCCATCCATTTACACTGAGATTTGGTGTGTTAGTAATGTTACTTACGTTGACTCCATTCTCAAGGCATGTAATCTACTGTGCTCCCAGAATCCGATCTCATCAATTCCAGCATCGGCGACTCATTGCTTTTGAGATTTTGTCTTTTTGGCTGGGGTGGTTACCTGTGGCTCGGTTTTGCTGCTGTAAAGAGAAAAGACATCTCCTCTGCTTCCAAGTTTTGGTTTGTGGGATCATTACTAAACAGCAGAGACAGAAGTATCCCTAGAATGGATCACTAGAATACCACGGTTGTTGACGACACCCATTTCGGCCGTATTCCATTCACTCTGGCGCAGAACTATCTGCCTTCCACAGTCCCTTGGAATTAACAAAGCGGAAGCTTTGTGGTCCCACTGATGCAATTTCTGGGTTAAGGTTTTGTCATATTTCCTACATCGTAAAACACGCAGGCTTGGTTGGCAGATAGCCTCGTACGCAAGGTCAGCAAACACCAGTCTGGGAGAAATGGAGGAGTGAACTGACCTGGATAAAAAAGCTTATTCCTCCGAGAAGAATGGTCGATTAACTTGAAAAGCTGTGTGTTTATATACATGATACGTGGCGTCGTGCATAACCTCAAATATTAGCATAGTAAAAGCAAGCTTTTGGCAAACAACGGATCAGCTTGAAAACAGAGGTAATAGAAAGCCGGTCCTGAGATAAAATGGCATGAAAAGATATCTTCAAAGTGCTCAGATTGGCTGACAATGTTTCTTATGAATCTGGTTTAACGGAAAATTGATCTGAAAATCCCCCCTGATCACCCTTATTTGATTTTATTGACATCTATTTTTAACATTTTTACCCTCGTTATGGATGGTGTACCTTTGACCCTAGCCGGTGTAATGTTATTTGCTTGTTTAACTGTCTTATTTGACTTTGCACTCGGCATTTGTCTTTGTATGTTTGAGACTTATTATGAATGTTGCACATTCCTATTATGTGACGCTGGACTGTTGACAAGGTTTAAGGACTTGTCCTGTTGCGAACTTGACAGACGCAAAGACCAATCACTAATTATTCGAACTTGTTATATACCCACGAATACGAGACCAAGGAAGAACACGATAGCGTAGTCGGATGGAATAGTATATTTGGATGGTTATGCCAAAATACCGATGCGTTCCAACTAACTGGCTAGAGAGTCGAATACGAGCAATGCAACGTAACACGACAGCGTGCCAAATGGCGAGGATGCTTGACCGGGTGCCTTCAGCTTAGCGAGTCCAGTTAAACTATCAAGGTCAGCATCAATGTCGAAAGTCGTCAAACCCTAGGCTATTGATTTTGGGGAAGTGTATGACGCTACAGATCACTCCCCCCCTAGTGGGTTCGTGAGGACCCTAAGACGATACCAGCCGGAAGTAAAAACCCAGTGGTTTCTCCACTGGTAAAACTCTTCCGATGGGCTCACTGCGTGAGGTGGCCCCTGGTTGTCTGAACCTTATTCTAGGGTGTCGTGGCGATTAAATAAATAAAATACAATAAATGAATTGTACGTCGGTCGCGGTCATCTGTTCCTTTCGACGTTCCGTCCAGTGCTCGTTGCACCTGGAATATAAATAAAAGTCTTTAATACCACGAAAACGTTGCGTAAAAATGGGAATTATTTATATATAAACATATCGAAAAATAAAAATTTACGCTTATCTTCACCGTTTTTTTAAAATTTCATTACATGGTAAATAAAAATTGATATAAAAAGGCAAAGTGTACGAGGGTTTGTATTGATGTATCGGGTAGCAGTCCGGAGTTGTTTTGGCGTTGAGCCTTCGGTAATCACCGGTTGGACGCCAGTCGTTGCTATCCTTTTTGGGAACCATGTGCAATGGCGATGCCCAAGGACTGTTCGACGGTCTGATAATGCCCAGGTCGAGCATGTGGTCGAATTCATTTTTCGCCGTTTGGAGCTTATCGGGGGCTAAACGGCGCGCTTTGGATGCCACAGGTGGACCTGTGGTTGTGACGTGATGCATAACATTGCTGGTTATGCACGGAAGAGTGTGCTTCGGTTGCTGTAACTCTGGATATTTCTCCAGAACTGCCTGGTAGGACGCGTCGCCTGATTGTTTAGTCCTAACGATGGCTAAACTCGGACCTACATAGGTGGTGCCGCCAATAGATAACTTTGTGCTGTTATCTATCAGTCGTCGACGGCGAGCATCTACGAGTAGATCGTAATGGTTTAGCAAATCTATGCCAATGATGGGCATAGAGACGTCTGCCAGGAGGAAATCCAGTGGATAGGTTTGCGTAAACCTAAGTTGAGGTAGGCATACCGTCTCCCGAATGTCGCGATTGCCTTGCCGTTGGCTGCTTGAAGATTGAAGGATGGGTCAAGATGACGCTCCTTTGTCGTTGCTGGAAGAACGCTAACTTCTGCGCCGGTGTCGACGAGGTAGCGGACTTTCGTTTTAACGTCGGTGACGTAGAGCAAACGGCTTTTTCCGCCGGCTACGGTTGCCGTGAGCACGTGCCGGCGTGACCGTTTCCCGAGTTTGGGTCCTTCTTAAAACGGCATGGTTTACGACATTTTCTGGCTTCATCCCCGTAAGTGTTATGAAACCAGCACCATTCAGGGTTTTCCACCCTGTTGGGTTTCGTTTTAGGGCTACCACGCGACTTGCTGCGATGCGCCAAGGTGCGTTTCTGTGAAGTGCTACGTGATCTAGGACTTCGAGATCGTAGCAACCGTTTCACAGAGTTGCACAACTTGGTCACCTCTGAATCCTGGCGCTCTGTTTTGTCGCAGATAGAATATACGTTGGAGACGGTCTGCTGGATATCTCCAGTATTTTATCTGCTGAGGCTGCCAGGTCGTCGAGTGGGACTGACTGGAGTGTCACCAACACGGTTTGCACCGGTTGTGGTAGTTTCGAGAGAAATAGTTCTCGGAAGAAACCATCGTCAAATGTTCGTGCACCGATTACTTCTCGCATGCGTGCGAGGACTTCAGTAGCTGAGTGGCTGCCTAGCTCGATGTTACGAAGCAATTCGTCTAGACGTTGGCGATCTGTGAGATCGCTTTTCTTCAAGAGTGCGGCCTTTAGAAGTGCATAAGGGTCACTTACTTCAGGATTAAACATGTTTGCTGTAACATACCTGTTTAATTCTCGCGGTAGTGACCGTATGACAGCAAGAAATCGAGATGAGGATCTGAGACACCCTGTTCTCGAAAATCGGCTTCGGCATACAGAAACCATGTTTCTGCATTGTCTGGCCAATATGGCACGAGTTGGATCGTGTTCGTAGTCGGCTTAATACGAATAAGCTTGGGAGTGTGGTCGGACATGAGAAAGTGTAGTAAATGGATATATAAATGTTATCGAAATGAAAACAATAAACAAATATAAAATGGAACAGGCTCACCAATTCAATACTTGTTATTGGTCGGGATATGTGATCACGTCGGGCTCACCAATTTAGGATTTGTCCTGGTGCGAACTTGACAGACGCAAAGACCAATCACTAATTATTCGAACTTGTTATATACCCACGAATACGAGACCAAGGAAGAACACGATAGCGTAGTCGGATGGAATAGTATATTTGGATGGTTATGCCAAAATACCGATGCGTTCCAACTAACTGGCTAGAGAGTCGAATACGAGCAATGCAACGTAACACGACAGCGTGCCAAATGGCGAGGATGCTTGACCGGGTGCCTTCAGCTTAGCGAGTCCAGTTAAACTATCAAGGTCAGCATCAATGTCGAAAGTCGTCAAACCCTAGGCTATTGATTTTGGGGAAGTGTGTGGCGCTACAAGGTGGTGTTGTTTTACCGCGCCCGACATTTCGTTTTGGTTCAACTTACGGTTGTGCTGTGATTTAACTGGTTGTCTTTTGACTGTCTACTAGGAACGTTTGTTTGTTGATTTGATTCCTGTAGGCAGAGTTTTGATCCCTTTCGTCTGGAATTTTCCTATTGACAGACAGGTACTTAACAGTTGTATTTGTTTAACCGGTTTTTACCGTGTAGTACGTATTTGCACTGTATAGTTACCCAACGGCACTGTTGATGTATTTGTAACTTCGACATAACTTATTGTTGCTTTGATAGTAGCACAGATTTTGTTACGAATCTACCATTGAATTACTACAAACCGTGTTTTGATATTTTGATCCAACCTTTGACTGTGCGTCACTCGCGGAAGTTAGGAAGCTATACAGCAGAACGCAGGAACTGGTCAGATTCACGTCAGTTGGCACCGCCTAGTTATTTCCCGCGTTCAGGCCAAGATTATTGTATTCTGGCCGCTACATCTGGGGCCTTCCAACAGATTTTGTATTGAATGCTGTCCGAAACTTCTGCTGAGTTGGAAGAGACAGCGAGAACTCTACATGGAGCAACACGGGTTTTTTGGGTTATTTTGCTACTTTTTTAAGAGGTTCGACTGATACCTAAACGTACTACCGCAAACGTTTACGTTGCACTGGTCACGGATCATTCTGTTAGTCAAGAAGCATGACTTTCTGTATGAAGAGGATCACCTGAACCTGTCCCGGCTTAGGTTTGCATTAGAATCACTGTCACACACACTGGCTATTTGGTTTAAGATGATAGTGTGCGTGTTATCTCTGTAAGGCTGTGGTTGATTCCTCCGAATTTTCGTTTGCGTAGTCGTCCCTTATGCCATTAAGACTGTCATCACTGCAGATCACTGCAAACAAGAGGCGACTGTGCACACTCTGGGGATAAGAGGACCATTACTTGTCAGGATGTGGTTCAGATGCAACGCACCATGCTAGGCCTCTACTGATTGACAGCGCCCAGTTTTCCAGAGAGGGTGGTCGTCTCGAATTCTCTATTCGGCTCCAAGCTGAAGGAATTTGAAGCGTGTTTCTGCACCTCAGACAACTGATGAGAGCACTCCTCCTTTTCTTCCTCGAAGACAAGACGATTTCCTTTCTCTGGTTTAGTTAGGCGCTCGTAAGCTTACGTTGCGTAAGCGGGCAGCCTGAAATCGGTAAGTGGTTGCTAATAGGATGAACAACTGGAAAAAATACAAAGGTATTTATAACAGGCACAGTAAAAATTGGAAAGGTCACGGTAAGCTACCTGGCATATCTGGGCAGAAAACTTGGGGGAAATCGTGGGTATAGTGCTCCTCGATGAAGCAGAAAGTAGCGTTCACATAGTACGTAGGACCTTAGCAGTTCAGTGATTGACCACACCAACTCGGGCAGGTAACTTGCTAACTCAGGAATTCCAATTTAATTTCTATCAAGTTGAGGTACAACCACACACCAGGTAGACGGTCGAATTGCAGAGGCGCAAGCTGCATAGGTTTCGAGTCCCTTAAAAACAAGGGAATCTCAAGGGGCCCAGATCTCAATAAATCTTCAGGAACAGGTGGCATTTACCGAAAGTAAACAAAGAGCGTTCCAATGTCCGAAATGTCTATTCAAGCCCTTCCTGTTCGGGTACTCATTTCTAGAAGGTAGACTGGCTTCCAACTGAAAACGAGTGACTGGCATCCCAGCATATCATCCAGCAGCTTTTCCAGCTTGCTGGGTGTGACTGCAATATCCTCGACGATACCACGCAAATTGGGTTCTCCTAGTACCTATCTGAGACTTCGGTTGCATCTGTATTGACACCAATGTGGGTTGATTGTTACATGTCTTCAACATATTGAGGTATTTTATTCTGATATCTTACGTAGCTTGTTTGAACTCTCCCCCGACCAGAAATGAAATTCGGATACATATTGCTTTCATTTTTAAACCATCAACCTACTGAGAACTATTTGCCTACTTTATGACATTTGTGAATATCACTTCTAAAAAATACCTTCTTCATATGCACTGCAGCGCAAAAGAAGTTATCGCCAAAGAATCAGTAGAACTATTTCGAATTTCGCCTGCTGCTCGCTCTTGTTATTCATTTTTCGGGTTTACCTAAGGAGTCCTTCATCCATATGAAGTCCTAGCGATCGCATTTGTCAGCGTGCACCACACCATCAAAACTTTATGAGGGAAGCACACAACCCAAGGTGACAGCTGTACTACCCACCCTACCCTCGGGAATATTGGATGGTTCAAACAATAGCTGAATAACTCCTAATTTCAAACTGACCTTGCTTCAGTCTGGAGAATAATTATGTTGGTGTTTATCTGTTTTATTCTTTGTTGTCTGCGAAGCACTAACGTTCTTTCTTCAAACAGGTCTCTAATGTGCCGTGAATAACGATGCATAGTGTACTGGTTGATATTGTACACAGCAGTCAGTTCATGTTGCCAAAATGATCAAACCTGTCAACTGTCTTGTTTCCATGTGACTTATATCGTGTAAAATATATTATTGTTGTAACTAGAACCAGGACAAACTCAAGGTGAGGTTATTTGTCTGCTCCACTTCTACTTGGTCACGAGTTAACACTGTTTACTTTGAGACGTAATAATTTTGCACCATACCCTGACTAAACAATAAAGAACGATTTGCTTGTAACTAACATTTCCACCACATAAGTGGTCGCTAAGTTACCGGTAACTGCTTGTTACGTTATTCGTGCTACAGTGTTAATGAACCTTGTCACCAAAAAGCCATTTCCTTCAACTTGAACACTACCACGTCCAACTGGATAAATGTATGAGTGCTGTTTATGCACGTTAGGTTAATTCCAGCGTCTCATGTAAAAGCGTGCATTCTTTGGCTGGCATGATGCCGGGACCTAGAAGGAGCTTTGAAATTAAGGTCTACGACACGATATCACGGCCTTGTAATTCCTCACATGATACCACAGAAGACTTGATATCCCTGCGGAAGTCAATGCAAGACACGAACGCTAGGTTCTAAATCATCCTGTCTCCGCTATGCCTTTGTCAACCTAATCCAAAAGCTAGCTGTGACAGCATACTGAAACTAAGCAGTATGCTGGATGTCATAGCAACTGCGTTTAATGAGCGAATTACATCACGCAATGGTGTAGCAGCATACAGTGCGTCCGACCATGCACCGATCAAACAAATATAAGCTACCTCTCTTCAAGCTTCGAATATGTCTTCTACCGAGTGCCAAGTTGTCTGTCTTCGCAAGGCGCTGGTGAAATATGCCTGTCCCTTGTTGTGCAAACCTGGTAGCCTTAACTAACCATGCCATGAAGAGCACCAAAATATCGCAACACTTAACATCTTTTCAGGGACTTAACCACATGAAATTTTCGAATGTCTCTGCCTCCAGTCAGGCTGTGGTACTCATAACTGTGAGTACATCAAAATCTGCAAGTGAATTGGTTACTTGGTAGGGATACCGAAGTGTGGCACACCAAATTTTTGTGGACAGTTCACTCGCTCACAACGGTAGACTTGGAAAAATCCTCTGAATATTTTCGTAAACATGCGTGTGATCTTACAGAAGCGCCCGCACTACCTTTAGTAGTAGAGGTCCAGCCCCTATTTTGCATCCTTCACATAGTAATGGCAACACTACTGTCCTCACCAGGGACTGCTCGGCCCCTAAACGTGACCCAGCATTAGCCACAAACACCGTGTTCCGGGAAGACCACCCGAAGGCCTAATGAGTAAACTCCTACAGCCTGTATGTTCTTAGTGGGCACGCGACAACCGTTGCCCGTAGCACTAGCAGCTGTAATACTGATTTGTGTGTTCTCATTTCTGTCTGGAAGGAACAACAGTCCAGCTGCAGATACACTGGCACATTCAAGGTGCAATGTCTCCATGGACTGCAACAAACATAAATTAATTGGTAAACATGGACCGTCGCCCTGATCGACTGACTGAATTTCTAACAACTCTGAGTAAACTGCTTCCCAGCTACAGTGTGATGGTAGAATCACTTCAACGTGTATCAATCCTCCTTCTACCAAAGATAGAAAACATTTTCAAGCCTAGAATGATCAGGTGCTGCCATTACATCCAACGTTTTATATCAGGAACAACAGCGATCTTTAGGTCTCAATGGAATTGCCTTCTGAACCTACCTTTAATGGTCCCCATGTACAGTTTGTTGAGATGGAATCGTAACTTTCGGTGGGACAGAATACGGAATCGTTTTCACGGAAAACTTAGCACTAGACTGGTGAGTCGAGTCATTGTGAAACGCCTGCTCGGCAGCTCCTTGTAGTTGGTAAAAATGGCCACAGTTCTGAATCAGCCACTGGATTAAGCCTCTGTGACCAGGCAGCACATATTCCTGGACCCGTTATAAACCTCCAAACCCACAACAGAACCTTTGGGGACTTCGAAAGTGAATGGCAGCTTTGGTAGGCCAGGTGATTCGTCTGGCCTCCAGCGACGTGTTGAACGTGACTACAGAAAGTCACCTGGAATCGAACGGCACCATGCTCGCTGTGCACCCGAAGGCTAGAACCTACCCTTCACACTGGTGGAAGAACTTGTGGCATCTTGAGCCATAGCCCAATAAAGGTTGTGTAAACGAAGTGCCACGTAGTCAAATACTCTGGAGCTGTCACAATGATTTGAAGAAAAAG